ATAGGCTTATCATTTAGCTATATGAATTAGTTACTGTACATTTAGTCAAGAGTTAAAAGTATTTCAAATGGGAGATGTACAAGGGGTAGGGAAGGTAGGACCGGGGACAACTGTTTCTTATTATAATCCCTTTGATGCTTTAAAAAAATAACTATATATGTATATGGCACTGTTAAGATCAGGACCCTGGGATCATGACCTGAGCTGAAATCAGACGCTTAACCAACTGGGCCACCCAGACGCCCCAAGATAAAAGATTTATTTTTTAAAAAACAGTGCATTGGCGTGTTGGTCTCAGCCTACTGATAGTGATGTCCTCAGCTAGGAATGCCTGAGGCATTCACTGGGGCCAATGTTGTGGCTGGACTGGCCACTGTGGTTCTTATTCTGATTGCAGGATGCACCTCAGCAAAACCGTCAGGAACTTTGAAGAACAAGATTTATTACTTACCAGTCCTGGAAGGTACAGGGTGGAACAATGGATAGAAAGAAAGGGAGGGAGCTTTGACTTGAGGCTCTGCCTTTATTTGAATTGAGGGTGGGGTGCCTTGGGTCTCATGGGTTCACCCTTTTTGGGAAATGATAAAGCATAAGAGCAGGAATTAGGGTGTGGGGAGGGAAAAACAGGGTCACTCAAGTGGTGACCCTTTCCAAAAGGAGAACTTCCTGGGTGGGGGCAGCCTGGCTCTTTATTTCTTTGTTTTACTAGCTGCTGTGTCAAGTAGCTGGTAATACGTTATTCCAGATGGATTTCTTTGAAATGGGTGCCTCAGCAGTCAAGAGCTGAATGTCAGGCACTCACATTACAATAAAAAACTTAAATGTCAGGCATTTACACTCTAGTCCAAAAGCTTATTGTGAGGTACTTACACAATATACGCATCGTTGTGGATTCTTATAAGTATCATGCCAAAGGACAGAGAATATTATCGAGGTGCTGTGATATTATTATTAGACATAGCTGTTCTTCTTTTAACACAGGAATGAAACGAAACAAAAGGCAGAGATCATTAAGAATGTTTCTGGATGTTACACAGAGTAAGTAGATTAGGTTGCTTAGTATTGGGGGCATATATGAGATTGTATATATTACAAATCAGTACGTGTAACATGAAATCTATAGATTCTGAGCTCAACCAAGGTGTTTTTCTTTTTTCTGCATTACTAAGTACTGAGTTGTAGGGACAAACGGTAGGAAAATGCTACAGACATATAATTATATAATTAGATAAAAAGTAGAAAATGGAATTAATGTGGACAAAACTCAAGATAACGCAGTGAGAGAAAAATGAAAAGATATCTATTTTAGACTAGTGAAAGTAAGCTACTCAAATATATTTTAAAGGAAAACTGCCAAGTCTCTATTGTACTTGGGTTCTTTCAGGTTTTAAGGAAAAGACATGGTAAAATTAATCTGGGTGATGGAGGTTGATGTCAGTGAGGCAGGAGAATTCACTGTAAATTTTTTTGTCTGTTAGTTTTTCCTGACGGTGTTCTCCTCACTGTCTCTCCCAAGAAAGTAAACTTAGCCATTTTAGGATAAAATGCAGCAGTTGCTACGCTTCAGGAAGTTAACTCTTCTTTCCCTTCCTAGTTTTGCTTCATAAAGCTTAGATTTGGGGTTCCAGGGTCCTTCCATCCCTTGGCTCTGCTGTCTTCAAAATGTGGCTTCTAAGGTAGCCTAGCCATCCACATCTGGCCAGTATGAGGGGAAAGAACGTGGAGGCTAATGTGGAGATGGGTTGCATCAGCGAATCCTGAAGGTGATCTATATTACTTCCACTTAGCTGTGATGTGGTCGTATGGCTATTTTAACAGGGTCAGGAGGAAAATAATCTATTCGTTGTTCCCAGGACAAAAAAAAAGAACAGCTAGCCAATCTTTGTCTAAGGAGGCTGGACCCCAGGAGCCAGGGTTTCAACCTTGATAAAAATCCTGGTGCATATGAGTGAAATAAGTCAATCAGAGAAAGACATGTATCATATGACCTCACTGATATGAGGAATTCTTAATCTCAGGAAACAAACGGAGGGTTGCGGGGGGGGGGGGGGGTGGGGAGGGATGGGGTGGCTGGGTGATGGACATTGGGGAGGGTATGTGCTATGGTGAGTGCTGTGACTTGTGCAAGACTGTTGAATCACAGATCTGTACCTCTGAAACAAATAATGCAACATATGTAAAGAAAAAAAAAAGAGAAGAAGATGATAGCAGGAGAGGAAGAATGAAGTGGGGGGAAATCGGAGGGGGAGACAAACCATGAGAGACGATGGACTCTGAAAAACAAACTGAGGGTTCTAGAGGGGAGGGGGGCAGGGGGATGGGTTAGCCTGGTGATGGGTATTAAGGAGGGCACGTTCCGCATGGAGTACTGGGTGTTATGCACAAACAATGAATCATGGAACACTACGTCAAAAACTAACGATGTAATGTATGGTGATTAACATAACAATAAAAAATTTAAAGAAAAAAAACCCCGGTGCATAAATATGGCATTGGAGCAGAGAAATCACCTCCCTTTGGGGGACCATGCTTTCATGGACAATTATTTACTAGCAGTGGCTTGTGTGGACTAATAACCAGAGGAGTTCCCCTAATGCTCTGTGCCTTATGTGATCTTAGTGAAAGTAACATCAATAATGAATTGTTTGACTTTTCCTCTATTCAGGGAGAAGGAAGAATATATATTTTTTAAAGATTTTATTTATTTATTTATTTGACAGAGAGAGACACTGCGAGAGAGGGAACACAAGCAGGGGGAGTGGGAGAGGGAGAAGCAGGCTTCCCGCCAAGCAGGGAGCCCGATGCGGGGCTGCATGCGGGGCTCAATCCCAGGACCCTGGGATCATGACCTGAGCCGAAGGCAGATGTTTAACGACTGAGCCACCCGGACGCCCTGAGAAGGAAGATTAAATCTCATTCAAAGGATGTTTTAGCGATGGCTTCATAGCAAACAACCACAGAATGTCAGTGGCTTACTGCAACTAGCCTTTTCTACTACACATTGGTGGGTGGGCTGAAATGTATCTGATTTAAGCTGGGCTCAGCCCTATGCTGCGGGTTGTGCACAGGTCTGCTCCATGTGTCTCTCATTGTACTTGGACCGGCAGCATGTTTTCCTCATGGAAAAAGGCAGAAATGCAAAAGGAGAAACAAACAGAAACTCAGGATTCTGCTTAAGTCCTAAATTCAAAACTGGCCCACCGTCACTTCTCTCATATTTCTCTCCTATTTCATTGGTCACAGCAAGTCATAGGACCAGTCTCAACATGCACCGAGTAAGGAAATATACTCCACCCATGGAGATGGGGAAAGGAAAGAGTGACAACCTACTTATTAATAACTTAATCTATGACAGAGAAATGAAGTAAAGTTTGTATATTATCTGGAGTTAAGATTATATCTACTACTTAAGGGAAAATCAAGTGAGAAAGACTGGGAACCCACACAAGAAGCAGCACAAACTTTTGGTGTCTCTTTCTTCACAATAAGGATGGAATAGACAGTGGGCCTCAGGAAGAACTGGAACAATGGCCCATGGCCATTCAAGATAAAATGGCATGTCTACTGAATGGGCCTCTTCTGTTCCCCCGATGAGCGCATGTCTGTTGTCCGTGGTGCTTTCTCTGAATGCCCTGAAAGAAAGGGTCTCTCTGAGTCGTCAATATTGTTGCCATCCAGTATTGGCCACGTAGGCCGTGTCTCCTCCTCATCCATTTCATGACTTATTGAACTTCCTTGGATATAAGCTCCTATCACAAACCCTGCCAGTTAACAGGACACACAACAGTCTGTATAAAGAATTGTCCTTGGATGATTTCCTCAAAGGGAAATGTTGGATGTAGACGAGATTAAAAGGTTATGGCTTTTCTGGACATTCTCATCCATTCATTCCTTTTCGAAACATTCATCAGACATCTGAAAATATAAAGGCATAGAAACTGTACTGTAGGAAAATATAGTTTAATGGGAGAAAGAGAAATATAAATAAAATAAAACTGTTTCTTCAGTCTGTAATATGAATCTTTTTTCACATTTTAATGTTTCTAAAAATATGGAAGCATCTTATAATTGATATCAATGCAACTTTCTAGGCATTAAGCAATAAGGTATGATGTTGTGCATGTATATGTAGCTTTTTATCAAAGCTATCAGTTTACTGCATTGTAATCTTGGCCAAATTGTTCATATTGCTAGCACAATCTGTGGTTTGAATTTTAATTTTTTAACCATTTTTAAAAAGATTTTTATTTATTTATTTGACAGAGAGAAAGAGAGCACAAGCAAGGGGAGTGGCAGGCAGAGGGAGAGGAAGAAGCAGGCTCCCTGCTGAGCAAGGAGCCTGATGTGGGGCTTGATCTCAGGACCCTGGGATCACGACCCGAGCCAAAGGCAGACACTTAACTGACTGAGCCACCCAGTGCCCCGTGAATTTTAATTTAAATCCGGTTTTTTACTTGAAATAAAAAAAAAAACCTTACCTATGATGAATATTAAGATAAGAAAGTATATATCAATATATTTAATTATTGAAAGAGGGAACTGCCAAATCTCCCAGAATATATTACGGATTATACGAAATTAGGAAGATTTGGTGTGACCAACTGATAGTATAGTGAAGAACCATCCTTTAGTGCTCATATTTGTCGAAATCTTCCAACTTACTTTCAATAGGAATTTTTAAATTCATGTGATATTTAATTCATTAAAAAAAGAGAAAATTATGAATTTAGCCAGTAGGAAATGCACATAACAGCATGTTCTTTGATAAGCCTTAAATTTATACTGTCGGGCGCCTGGGTGGCTCAGATGGTTAAGCATCTGCCTCCAGCTCAGGTCATGATCTCAGGGTCCTGGGATCGAGTCCCACATCGGGCTCCCTGCTCCTTGGGAGCCTGCTTCTCCCTCTGCCTCTCTCTCTCTCTCTGTCTCTCATGAATAAATAAATAAAATTAAAAAAATAAAATAAATTTATACTGTCATCCCTAAATATACTGGTAAAGTAGAGATCGTGAGCACAAACTATGGAAACAGTGTCACTGATGAGATGCCTGACTACCAATTATCAAGTGTGATTCATTTATTTTTAAAAAACATGTATTTATTCATTTTAGAGAGAGAGGGAGAGAGAGAGCGTGTGTGCACAAGCAGGGTGAAGAGCAGAGGGAGACGGAGAATCTTAAGCAGGCTCCACGCCCGGCATGGAGCCCCACTTGGGGCTCAGTCTCAACCCTGAGATCATGACCTGAGCTGAAATCAAGAGTCAGAGGCTCAACCGACTGAGCTGCCCAGGTGCTTTTATCAAGGGTGACTTAGAAGAAATCTTAAACTTTTGAGTAAAGAAGTTTTAAACTCAAAATTGAGAGAAGACTCAGAAAAGGCTAGTAGGAAGGGATGAAACCTGAATGAACTTTGAGGATGAACAGCAGTTAGCTAAAGAAATACACAGAGCAAGCGCATTCTCTGCAGGGGTGATAAAATATGTGAAGAAGGGAAGATGTGGTGGAGGGAACCTGCGGGGTCACTAAGGTAGTTCTGTTTAACTCAAATATATGCAAATGAAATGGTGGAGAGAGCTGGAAAGAGGGAAGGGGTCAGAGCAAGAAAGATCGTTCCTCCCATGTTTAGGGCTTGGAATTTATAAGGAAAGTACTGGGGAACCATTTAAAGCTTTATGTCAGCGAGTAAAGTGATCAGATCTGGTTTCCGAAAGGTCACTCAGGGAAGACTGTGGATAATGGATCAGGCTAGACCTCTCACGCTCTAGAGGGGGACTGGCAGTAAAAGGCCCAGTTAGGAAATTGTACATGAAGGCCTAACCCAGGGCAATGATGGGACTGGAATGGAAGGTGCACATCTGAGGAATATGAGGAAGACAGTGTAACCAACATGTGCCAATGAGATGGAAGGATAGAGAAGGCTCCAGAATCGCTTGGGTAAATGGGTGGATGGTGATGACATTCACCCAAAATAGGGAGAAAAGGAGATACAGATGATGAGCTTGGGTGTTGACCTATTCGAGGTACCTAGGAGACATCCAAGGGGAGACAGCCCCAGTAACAAGAACATAAGAGAGTGCGTTATTCCCGTGTGTTATAAAACCACAGCCACACTTGGCATATTTCAATTCTAGTTGCCTTCTCCCATATGCACCTCATACCAAAAATATGTGCTTTTCTGAGGGGGTCTAGAGACAGGCCATGACAAAAAGATCAGGTGTTAGGCACCCAGAATTTTCCATGTGAACATAATTGGAACTTCATTATGAAAATATGGAAAAACTGATAGCCCAAACCTAGAGTATTTTAATGAAACTAGATGAGGTGAAATTTGACTCTCTAATCAAAATTCCATATGATAGTTCTAGGGGAACTGAGACCTCAAAAATTGCAAAAAGTAGGCTTAAGATGAAAACACAAAAGTATTCTTGCCCTCAGAGATAGTCAATTTATAGACCTAGGGTTGCAAAGATAAAATACAGGATGTTAAGTGAATTTCAGATATTAAAAAAAATATGAATGTCTTTAGTATGTCCCAAATATTGCACAGGACATACTTAACATTAAAAAATTACACGTGGTTGATCTGAAATTTAAATTTAATGGTGTGTTCTGTATTTTTATTTGCTAAATTTGGCAACCCTATAATAGGCATTCATTTTATTATGAAAATACAAAATCTAGGGGCGCCTGGGTGGCTCAGATGGTTAAGCGTCTGCCTTCGGCTTGGGTCATGATCCCGGGGTCCTGGGATCGAACCCCATGTCCGGCTCCTGGCTTGGCGGGGAGCCTGCTTCTCCCTCTGCTTCTCCCCCTACTCGTGCTCTCTCTCTGTATCTGTGTCTCGAATGAATAAATAAAATCTTAAAAAAAAAAAAACAAGAACAAAATCTAGTAGCTGTATTAGCTTCCTATTGGTGCTGTAACAAATTGCCATAATTTGTAGTGCTTACAACAACACAAATTTATTATCTTGCAGTTCTGGAAGTCAGATTTATGAAATGGGTTTCACTGGTCTAAAATCAAGGTGTCTTCAGGCCTACAGTGGTTCTGGAGGCTAAGGGAGAATTCATTCCCTTGTCTTTTCAAGCTTCTAGAAGCTTCCTCCCTTCTTTGGCTTTCAGGCCCTTCCTCCATCTTCAAAATCATCAATGTCTCATGTTCCCATCTCTATTTCTGACTTTTCTGCCTTTCTTTTATAAAGACTCTGTGTTTACGGTAAGCCCACTTGGATAATCCAGGATCATCTCCCCATTTTGTGATCCTTAAATTAATTGCATCTGCAAAGTTCCTTTTGCCATATAAGTCAATATTTTCACAAATTCCAGGGATTAGGACATGGCCGTCGTTAGGGCTATTATTCCGCCTAAAACAGCAGCTTTCCAAAAATATTAGACTCATGGATGTCAATTCTACAATGGGCTAACTTTTTATATCCTGTGTGATATGCCATCTCCAGTTTTCTGAGATTTTTCATTGGTTTTGTCTGCCAGCCCTAGGATAGGAGTCTATAAAGTAGCAAGCACAGCGGTAACATACTTCAATTCCTCCTGGGCTGAGTGTGAGCAAATCCAACTCTGCTAGGGTAGAGGATGGTCTTGAGTTACAATGGAGGGGATGAGATGAGGGGTGGGGTTGACGGAGAACACATTATTTTAAAGATGCCCTGGAGCTCCCTTTTGGATGTTGCCAAAGCTATGACATTAGAAGGCAGAGGGTTGTTAGTGGAAGGAATTTTGATGACTAATTCTCTTGGTTTTGCTTAACCTTTTCTTTAAAGAAGCATCAAAGAAGAATGTGGATAAAGTAACTAAAAGGCTGGTGACTTAGTCCATGTGGACTGCTATAACAAAATACCAGACTGGTGGGCTTATAAACAACAGACATTTAGTTCTCACTGTTCAGGAGGCTGGAAGTCCAAGGTCAGGGTGCCACCTTGACTGAGTGAGGGTCCTTTTCTAGGTGTCAGACTTCTCACTGTGTCCTCACATGGTGGGAGGGGCTAGGGCTCGGTGGTGGTGGGAGGGAGGTCCCTTTTATAAGGCACTAATCCCATTCATGAGGGCTCCAATCTTACAACCTACTCACCTCCCATGGGCCCCATCTCCTAATACCATCACACTGGGGACCAAGATTTCAACAGAAGAATTTGGGTGGGGTGGGGTGGGACACTGACATCCAAACCATCGCAGCTGTGGCAGAAGGATGCCAAAGTAACGGAGGAATCTGATCGCTTTAACCAACTGGACAGTTTCCCCAGCTAGCTGAAAATACGTCCAATATCATCTGGTGTCAGATAGATAGAAAAAGAAAAAAAAATAGTTATTTGCTCTTGCTTTATCGTTGATTATGACCACATACTGGTTCTATTAAATCCCTGTGATATGATAGGTATTACGCCAGATAAATTTCACCTACATTATTTTCTAGTCGTCATAACTGTCTTTCAAGGTAGATAGTACATTCACCAGTTAAGCAGATGCTGAGGAGCAGAGAGATTAGCCTGCTTGTCCAGGGTGCTAACAAGCTTAATGTCAGAGTCAGATTTAGCCGCTGGTATGTTCATACCCCAAGCCACTTTTATCCACTGTGTCATGTTTCTGGGATGTTGTCACACATTGTTTAAGAGCTGTTAAAAGGAGCAAAGAAGGGGGCGCCTTGGTGGCTCAGTTGATTAAGCATCTGCCTCTGGCTCAGGTCATGATCCCAGAGTCTTGGGTTGAGCCCTGTGTTGGGCTCCCTGCTTCAGCGGGGAGTCTGCTTGTCCCTCTCCCTCTGCCCTCCCACCACCCCCAACTCATTCTCTCTCTTTCTTGCTCTTTCCAATTAAAAAAAAAAAAAAAGGAACAAAGAAACACCAATTAGGGGTGTTGTAACTGGGAGAAAGTCCCCTTGGTCACTTATCAATTTCTTTAAGCTACATGAAAACAGCCACATAGCATTTACTTAACAAGAATAATTATGTCCCTTTCTAGAAAGGTAAGCACCTTGTTTTCCGTTTTCTTCGTAGCCCATCCTCTCTTTTCCCCATGTAGCTTAATATCTGTTTCACAAGAAGATTATACTGAAGAAATACATTGTAAATGTTAAGGCATATTTCGGTTTTCTCTGGAAGAGACATGAATTCCTGGATCTCCTTCATGTTTCTCTTTTGTTCTTTGTACAGTGAAGCTCCAGGGGAGCTTTCTTTTTTTTCCACTAGGATTTCACTGTCCTGAGGCACTCAGGGTTTGGAAATCCCGAATGCCAGTGAGCCATGAAAGGCGTTGGCCCATGGTCAGACCCAACCCAATGACATCAACTGAGACAATCTCTCTCTGCTGCAAATATGTTTTTCTGAACACACCCAAATCCCAAAGATTTTCATCTTCTCTGAGTTCCCTAACATCTGCTTTGTCAAAAAAACAAGCTATTACAGAGAAACGAACCCAGTCTAAACGATTCCCAGAGACTCCTCTTGGGGACAGTGTTCTTCCTTCTAACAGAATATCAAGAGGCGATGGGTCTCAAGATCATTCTTGGACATTCTATTTGTTAAAGATTTTCAAAGTCATTGGTTTCTGTTGAAGAATCCAGAGAAGGAGAACCAGGTACCATGCTCTCCTAGTTTGGCACATGAAGGATCTTTTAGACGCAAATGACCCAGAAATAACATGAAGTGTTTCAGAAGAAACTCAGTGCCTAGGTGGCTCAGTCGGTTAAGCGTCTGCCTTCAGCTCAGGCCGTGATCCTGGGGTCCTGAGATTGAGCCCTGAGTCGGGCTCCCTGCTCAGTGGGGAGTCTGCTTCTCCCTCTTCCCATCCTCGCCTGCCCTTCCCCCCGGCTTGTGCTCTCTCTTGCTATCTCCCTCTCTCAAATAAATAAAAATAAAGTCTTAAGAAAAAAAGAAACAAACTCAGTGATTTCCATTCTTGACTTTCAGTTTTCTTTTCTAAGTAGCTGCATCATCTGCAGGCAGCGAGGGATGGCAGGTTGAACCTCGGCACCCTATCCACACAGAAACAGCACCAGGTGGCCTCAGGCACCCCTGGGGTTCGGTCCCAGCGCTGTCCCTCACTAGCAGTGTCGCCCCAGGTAGATGACTGGACTTCACAAATCTCCCGATCTCTCAATTGTGGCTTAATAATACTCTTCTTGGGATGCTAATATGAAGATATAATAAAATAATATATGTAGAGTGCCTGGCATGCAAAATATATAGCAGTAGCTACTCATTTGTTTTCCTTTTTCCTCCTCAACACCTAGAACGTAGTTGGCCTTTTATTTATTTATTTATTTATTTATTTTTGAAAGATTATTTATTTATTTATTTGAGAGAGAGAGAATAAGAGACAGAGAGCACGAGAGGGAAGAGGGTCAGAGGGAGAAGCAGACTCCCCGCTGAGCAGGGAGCCCGATGCGGGACTCGATCCCGGGACTCCAGGATCATGACCTGAGCCGAAGGCAGTCGCTTAACCAACTGAGCCACCCAGGCGCCCCACATAGTTGGCCTTTTAATCAATTTTGGACTTAAGGAAGGAAAGAAGGGAAGAAGGAAGACGATGCCTAGAGTGACTGAAGCTTCTTTCTCTTCCTCAAAGAGCCTTCTCCCTCCCAAGCAATCACTGAACTCTTCACTTTCTCCGCCTTGCTTTGCCCATGCTGATCCTGTTTGCTGTCCACCAGATTTTTTCCCTCTTGATCACGAGGAATTCACAAACGTTCCTTGAACTCCTATGCCCCAACCGCTCAGCCAGGTATTGCAGAGAATATAAAAATAAATAGGAATGAAATCCCTCTCTTCAAATCACTTACTGCTTACTGCTCAAGAGAAGGTACAAGACATAGAACTATAATATAAGGGAGGGAAAAAACCATGTAATATAAGAATCTGCTCAAGTACTACGGGAGAGAGAGAGGGAAGGGCTTTATACAGGCCGCAGTGTTTGTGCTGATCTTAAGTGGCAGTAAAAAAATATTTTATTTATTCATTTGAGAGAGAGCACAGAGAGGCAGAGGGAGAAGCAGGCTTCCCGCTGAGCAGGGAGCCCGATGCGAGACTCAATCCCAGGACCATGGGATCACAACCTGAGCTAAGGCAGATGCTTAACTGACTGAGCCACCCAGATGCCCCCTTAAGTGGCACTTGAATTTGTAGAAAAGAAGCCTAATGATATCCAGGAAAGGAATCAGTAAAAGCAGATGCATGCATGCTGAATGAAGAGGCTAACACAATCACAGTGACATACCAACTACTAGCAATCTAGCACTCACTGTGCGTCAGAGCGATTCTAAGTGCATTACATGGACGATTTCATTTCATTATGAAAACGAACTGTGGTGATAAATGTTTATAGGCTCAACATATCTTTGTTTCCATCTTGATTGAAATTAATATGCACCCATAGGGCACAGGCTCCAACAGAAGGGAACTGGAGCCAATGTGTTAGAACATCGGAGCTGTTAACCCAGGGATTTGAGAATACAGAGCGCTAAAAATCTTACCTTCTTTTATTTTCATATGATAAACATAAAAAAGAAAACAAGAATATCGACCAATCAGGTAGTTTAAATATATAAACACAGGGCCTGAAGAGACGGAAAAAAATCTCTTATCAAATCTATACTCATCCTGTATCTCGTCATTATAAAATTAGGTGGCTTATTTATAAGAAGCTCCCGGTAGGAATCATCTGCTCTAACTGTAATAATCCTGACCTTCGAGTCTATGATGCTCATTCTAATTAAGAAATTATATTCATTGTTAGAGAACCCTGACTTGACTTACGAATTTTGTAATAACAACTGATTTTCTCACACTTAACCTGTGTAAAAGGGTGTCATCTTCTCTCGGGTTTAGGAAAAAAATTTTTTTTTTCTTGCAAAATTATACAAGTGAAAACTCAATGGTGATTATGGTAGAATTATCTTCAAGAGGTAAGGCGGCTATCTGGGCATCTCACCTGCGTGTGATTTCAGTAGTACCTTAGCCCCATGTTAAGGATGAAGGACTGAGATTGAGGTTCAAGGTGGGAGCCCTAAGAATATGTCTGGTCGAACTCCAACCAGCTCCAGCTTTGCTTTAAAACCCGCTTCTGCCTTTGCTAGCACCGAGGCCGGGCTTCGCAGCAGCTGCTCCCAGCCGGGACCGAGCGCCGCAGGGGTCATCGGGCAGACCCATTCCTGGGGGACACAAGGCTCCTCTGGCAGCCGGCTTTCCCTTGAGGAGGCTTGGTGGCCTTGCGGAACTTTCCTTACATTCCCTGTCACCCTTCCCTCCGTCTATCGGTCACTGAGGGTCGGGTTTGCCTTGTGGTCTAATGGCTCTTCCAGTCTTCCCCACCTGCTCTTGCAGAAGTTTCCATGATTTAATCTTTGCTTATTGAGTTCTTTGGTGGTATCTGCTGCTCCGGGGACCTGGGCTGACACCTTGAGTGATTTATCCATAGTCACGCGGCGATGAAGTGGCAAATTGTGGGGGACTCAGGCCCAGGTTGGTGCCAGAACGGGGGAGGGAGCAGGGGAACACAAAGCCAGAAGAGTGATTACTAATAACACACATTCTATATAAATCTTGGTGGAGAAATTGGTCAGATTGCAGTCAGAAATTCTTAAAGGACCTTCTTTTAGAGACGGGATAGAGAAACACTATTTTGGATATTCTGTCTTTATGAGTTTCCTTTCGGAAGGTAAATGCCAGTACTGTAGTTCTTTATTTTCTCACACCACTTAGCAAACACTATAGCTGATGAGTAGGTATGATTGAACCTCTGCTGCAATTGGTCAGAGAACGGACTCGCGGGAGTTGCAAGTTTGGATACCCAGAGGGTAAGGATCAGGCCTGCTAGGGGTGGGAAGAACTTTTCTAAAAGGTGGGGAGAGGTTCTTCCTTTCACCTTTGTGCCTCAGGCGAGTCAGATGAGCCTTCACTCACCCTTGTGCCTCAAGTGAGTCAGACGAGCCTTCCCAATCTACGGGAACTGAGTCCTGCCAAGCACTAAGGGTTTGGGAGCGGGAAGTTCTTTTATAAAGTGTTGGGCCCCTTAAAATAGGCTTAGAGTCTAAAAATGGAGACCAAGAGCCCAAGTCAGAGTTAAATGTCAAGGCATGCTGGTTACCCTGAGAATTTACAAGACTGACACCAGTCCGCTTCGGGCAAGAACATGAGGTTGGCGCTTAAGCAGGCTCTTTGTGACTTTCTGGGTTCCTTCTAACTGGTGCTGATAACACTGACTTGCAATCAGAAGCTGTGTCACCCTAAGAAATATGCTAAACCTTTCTGAATCTCAGGTTTCTTCCCCCACATAAAGTGGGTAATTGTGAGGATTAAAAGAAATAAGGCAGAGGGGCGCCTGGGTGGCTCAGTCGGTTAAGGGTCTGGCTCTTAATTTCAGTTCAGGTCATGATCTCAGGGTCGTGAGATCGAGCCCTGTGCTGGGCTTCTCTCTCTCCCTTTGCCCCCTCCACCCCCGCTTGTATGCACGTGCTCACTCTCTCAAAACAAACAAACAAATAAGGCACAAATACAAAAAAAGAAAAGAGAAAAGAAAAGCTTTTGTTCTACTGACCCCTCTTTCCCCATTCCCTCCTCCCCTGCTCCAGCCCACACTGGTCTTCCTGCTCTTCCTCAAATTGCTCAGCCCATTGGTGCCACAGGGCCTTTACACATGCCTGTTACTTTGCATGAAATATTCTTCTCTGTATGTTTGCATGGCTTCCTCCTCCCCACCAGGCAGTTCTCTTTTAAAATTTCTCCTTGGAGTAGTCTGCTTGGAGTTTACTATCTAAAATAGGAATCATTCACTCACCACTGTCTCTTTCTTTAGCTTAATTTCATTTTCTTCATAACTGTCATCATGAAAAGAAATTTATATAATTTATGTATTTATATACTTAACTTGGCTAGCTCTTCCATTAGCTGGAACCTCCAAGGGGTAGGGTGTTTTTTGTTGTTTCTGCAGTTGTTGTTCATGGCTGAATCCCCCTGGCATAAGAGAGCGCCTGGCACAGGGGAGACATCATTAAAAATTGTTGCATGAATGAACAAATGAATGAGTAAAATGAACATGTTTAACTCCAAGTAGGTCTTGTGAAAATACTAGCTCTTTCCAGTCTGCTGTCCCATTAAAGAGTAGCAAGAGTTATTAATTCAGCAGTTTTCCAGGCATATGTGCATTTCAAAGGGGGTGTCTAAGAGGCAATGTCAAATGTCATAACCCCGTAGGATGACTGTTAAATGCTAGAGATCAGAGCCGGTGCCAAATAGACGTTTTTGAACAGGGGTATTAACCCTTGTCTTTACGCACCAGCTAATGGCTTAGGAAACATGATACAAGATGACAATTTGAATTTTAACTGACCCTAGAAAACAGTGAAGGTTCAGAAATCTCCCTTCCCTTCGTGTTCTGGAAAATGGCTTACCGCAAAAACCATCCTTCCTCATGTGACTTAGATAAGACTCCCGGATGTCCCCCGGTTTACCCATGACAAGGCCAGACACAGTCCCTTCAAATTCCCATTCTTGGCCTCATAAATAATTAGCTGAACAGCTGGTCCCCATCGATCAATAGACACAAAATGCTTATTACTTTGATCGTGTGCTTCTCTCCTTTCCCCAAGTGCCTGAGCTTTGTCCCTCATTGTATCCTTCCGAGAATCAGCTGGGCTCTGGGGAAAACTTTCTGTGACCTGCTATTAGATCCTGCCACCCTTTCATCCCATGTTCCCACATTCGGTTCTCTCCAGCCCTGTTCCTGACTCTCTGTAGTAAGCCCCCCTCAGCCTTGTTCCTGAGACTTCCACAGGTCTCAGGGTCACAGGGCTCTCCTTATTGCAATATTCTCCCCTCCCCCCTCGGGAAGAGTGCTGCCCGCCTCCCCGGCAATAATCCTTTCTGAATGAAGTCTCTCTTTACTGAATCTGGATTTGTCCTTATTTAACAGAAGAATAAAAATATTGTTTTTTGATACTGGGCTATGGGGAGAAGGGCTTGGGTCAAACACAAATTAGCTCAGACAATACAGTGCCTTACTATGACACCGCTCTTACACTTTAGATTCTTTAGCTACTTTTTTTTTTTAAATACCAGCTTCCACCAGTCTCCACACCAGACCATTTTTACTTTTTTTCAAGATTTATTTATTTATTTGAGAGAGAAAGCGAGCAGGGGGTGGGAGAGAGGGAGAGAGAATCCTGAAGCGGACTCCCTGCTGAGGAGGGAGCTGCACATGGGGCTCGATCCCAGGACCCCGGGAGCATGTCCTGAGCCAAAATCAAGTCGGGCGCTTAACCAAGTGAGCCACCTAGGTGCCCTGAGATTCTTTAGTTATTTTAATAGTCTCTATATCCCAGGGTTGCTGTGACAGTTCAAGATCTAAGC